CCCCAAAACCCCAAAACCCCCTCTTGGGAGTATTATGAGTTTCAAATGATTTATGAAATTAAGATTAAATAACCAAATTTTAAATAGATTATATCTGAATGCAAACTAACTTTACTTTGTCCTCAGAATTTGTTACTTATATAATTAACTTTAAGGAGTAAATCTTGATATTTATCTTCGTATTTCCTATAGCACTATTAGATATTATTAAATCGATCTTACTTTTTAATATTATCTACCTTTTCTTATGTTCTTAGTTTATCTTAATTTGACTTGACTATAATTTATTTCTTTTCCCTCTCTGTATAGCTTTTGCTCATTTAATATTTGTAATTCTTTTATCTCCGTTCTGCTTCTCGCATTACTTAAGAAATCTCTGTTTTCTAATTCTACCTCAGAATGTTTGACAAAAATTCAAAATCTGAATTAGTTCCATCATCTTGATTTTGAATAAGTAAAGCAGGTTGAGTCAATTGTAATTAATCAGAGGAATTTGTAAACATTGGTTGAATTTAGATTATTGGCTTTTAACCCTATAAATAATTAAGAAAAATTGAGATTCTTACATATTGCTAAACAGGACTACTAGTAAGTATTTGACCCTTTTAGTTTATTACTGGTAATTGAACTAGTTAGGCTGAGGGAGACGTTCCAAATTTAGACAAGACTGGTGAACTGTACAAATTTTTGTTTTGATCAACTATATTGAATCTCTAAGTTGGCTAATTAAGATTATCATTAGTTGAGCCATCTAATGTATTATAAACGTTGCTGTAAGGATTTTATAATACACTATTTCGTCCATATTTTATAGTAGATAAGGGATCTGTATTATTATTCACCAAGATGACGCTTTTATTAAGATCCCCTACTTTATTATGCAGAGGAGTTCTCAGACGATCTAAACTCTTTTGCAAAAACCTCCCATTTCTCTTGCCTATCTAATCACTTTCGCTTAATAATAACTTTTATGTATCATTATAGAGCTCTTTAGAATTTAAGTACTGCATTTTTTACAGACGTAGTTACTCTTAAATGACCTATTTCTTTAAACTTTCTACATCTTAAGCTTTCTGCAGCCTCCCTTTTTCTTTTTTAAGTTATTCGAGGTAATTTCTATATTAGTTCTCCTCATTTTCAAACATTATACTAGCCTTTTCATGATAATCTTCTTGCATGGCACTCTGCAACTCTTTTTTCATGTTCTCCTATTCTAGCACAAAGTCAACATTATAAGTCTAAATATCCATGTTCTTTTTCCTTTCTGTAAGAAAGAGTCCAACTTGACATCTAAACTTTACTTGGCGACAAATTGCTGACTTAGTCATTTCAAGATCATATTTTTACTCCCATTTAAGCTCTTCATCATCCCTCATCTCATAAAATACTTCATCAAGATCTATTCCATAATCAATTAACTCAGCTATTTTCTATTACATATTGGCTTTAAGCTATTCGATATCCTTCAATAATTACTTATATATTTAGTTTTGAGATTTAGATTTATTATCCAGCTTGAGTTTGTGAGACTTATACCTAGAAATATCACTTTAATACTTCCTCTTCTCTTCATTGATCAGATTAACTGCCCTTTCTCTCAAATACTCTTTTTCCTTAGTAAGATGATCAACTAATTACCATTCCTTTTCCATTTATTAAAGATCTTTTTGAATGTCTTTAGTCTATTGATGCACAAGTGATTCAACTTAATTTTTATATTGATTCATTTGCTATTTATGGACAAGCTCCTCCTCTTTACGTTTAGGATTATTTAATTTCTCTACTTCAAGCAAAAATTCTTTATCTTTAAGCTCTTTTTCCTTATTTATTAGAACTTATTAAAGCTAGTCTTACTGCTTTTAAATGACACTTATAAGCTATTATTATTATTCTCTCATTTTTTCTTGCCATTATTACTCTTGCAATTTAATCTAATCTTAAACAAGTTTTTATTACTGTTCTTGTCGCTAGAATTATTGTTATTATTGTTAGAGCATCTAATCCTATTGAATTTGCTGCTACTATTAAAGCATATTATCAAATTGAAGTTGTTATTACTATTGAATTTACTATTGATGCAAATCATTCTGCTATTAGAGCTGCAATTTAGGAATTCTTACTGTCGGATTTAACTATTAATTGTCAAAGCTATCATCTTTCTAAATCTCAGCTGAGGTAGAGTTTTTAAACTAAGAAAAATTCCTGGATTCTTTATTATTTTTAGAATGTATTTCTTTAGGCTTTTAAATGAGATTATATTTCTTTTTAAATCCTTTTACTGAAAGTTCATTTTGATAAGATTGATAGTCAGGCATGTCATCATCTTCTATCATATAGGATTAAGTTAGATACTCTTCTGCCCCTTAATCATTATGTTACATCTTTTAGTTTACAATAGCTGCTGATGAGTTTTTCTTGCTTGGTAATTTCTTTTGAGGTGTTTTTACAACAGATTTAGTAAAGACTGAGTTAGAATTAGTATAGGGAGCCTCCAACAGGCTAGAGGTGTTGTCATCAGCGTAAGTAACTTGCTTTATAGACTTTGCTTGACTACTTAATCTATCCATTTATTAGTCAATGGTCAGTTTCTATTACTCAAGCTCTGCTTTTTTCCACTTAATCTCCTCTTATTATTGACGGATGAGCTCTTGCTATGATTCTATGATTGGATTAACTTCATTAATCTCGTTAGACTTTGAAAAATTTGTATCTTTCAAAATTGGCCTAATCATTGATTTGAAACTATTTTACTATACTTCTTCATAGTTTTGACTAATTTTCTTCTCCATTAGCTGTATTTATCATTTGTGCATATATGTCTCTATATCTCGCTCCATATCGTGCTTTTCTTTCTGCTTCTAATCTGTAGCTTTTAACATTTGCAATTCGCTTCTGATTTAATCGATATTATAGCTTGGCACACCGCTACCTTTACTTTAGGTTTATTTTAATAGAGAGGCAGGAGAATTTCTATCAGAGACCATATCATCTGAATCTGGATAAGTTTCTGTTCCTTAATTCATTGTATTAGTCAATAAATTTTATTATAATCTTTCAAATAATATTTATCTTCTAAATTTTAAAATTATCCTACCATTATGGGGTTTTGGGGTTTTGGGG